AACTCTCACAAATCAGAATATAGAAGGGATTTTCCTGCACTTTTGATGGTTGACGGTGTCTTTTTTATTCTTGCCTATTTGACAATGTACCTTTATCCCACTAAGATGCTCTGTAATGTATAACTGAGAGCACAGTGCGATAATACCTTCCAATTCCTTTCAGCACGAAGTGTTAAACTCTATATTATATACATATTAATAAATTTGCAAAATATTTTTTTAACCCCAACTTCCCCTTCTGTCATCAGACTACAGGAACGATATCTTATTTTCTCTTTAAGTGTTCTTTTTCAATCAGTTTTGGAATGAAGTCTATGACTAAATATTAAATAAACTTTTGTAGTTGCGAAAGCCTCTAGCTCGCCAGAATATCCTGAGATGATTTTAGGTATCTTAAAGGAGGAGATGGATGTGCTAAATAATATACTTATCTTAGGTAATACGTCATTGTGGAGTTGCCGGTGCACAGAAACAAAAACATGTTTAAGCCAATTAAAAGAGTTTCTTTTTAACTTAATAGAAAACTAAAAAGTATATTTCTTTTAAATCTAATAATATAAAGTGGTTTAGGAAGAAATGGAGAATGTTTGTAGGAGCTAATCTTATAATCAACCAGGTCCACAACTACGTGAATACGATAAGCTTCATTTGGTACAATAATATATTAATTTACTTCTTGTAATTAAATAAGTACTTTGTGAACCATTTTCTAACTTAAGTTAGTTTTTTAACTCAGTGTTTTTTTCATATTACTTCTTGTAATTGAGAAATAGCTTTGTGAACTGACCATCAGCAGTCATATTCAACTTGTTCATTAAAAGTCGTTCTTGTAAACATAAAAACGATTCAGAATTTCGGTTAAAAAGTCGCCCTAACCATTATCTTTATCAGTGGTTTCATGTTATCCCGCTCCACAGATATTCACCATAAAAACCAGGTGTGCTTGTCCAGATCAATGTTGGCCACCTGTACCTGAGCCAACAACACCTGAGCCTATTACACCTACTAGTGTTGTTCCAAGCCCAATGACTGTAATCCCAACGAGAAGGTAATTACTAAGATTTTTGGAGTTGGTGCACGAACAGTTTTTTAAAATGTCTCTTATCAAACAACTGACTACATTGTTGGGGGAAAGGATGGCGAGGAGGTTAGGGGAGAGAATGGGAAGAAGGGTTTTGTTTGGACATTGACTCTATGAACGGATTGTGTAATTGTCCGCAAATCCAGAAAATAAAAATTCCAGATAAAAATTTTGGTATATATGTTGGCGCTCGCAAATCTTCACGAGAAAGACCACATTATTTCCTTGTAACACCTGACGAATATAAGCTGTAGTCACCATTTAAATGATATACCGTCAATTCAGTCAGACCTGGAGTGCTTTTAGTGGTAGGGAGAATATATTCATTGTCAGTTACATTGTACACCATCGATCATTTTTATTTGTCAGTAACTCATCGATCTTTTGCTTAATGCAACGAAAATAAGTCTAAACTGTAAACTTGGGATGTCTTTTAGCTTTGCTTTTACTCAATCGCAGACACGTCACCACCTCAAAGCCACTACTGGAATTTTGTGGGGAAAACACGTATTTTCACCGGAATCGAAAAACTTTTGTTGATTGAGTTCGCTCTATTGCATTTAAAAACTCAGTTGCACATGTGCTCATACCATAAATTTGAGGAAAAGTTCTATGCCTTCGAAATTTCAATCTGAATTGAATAAAAACCTTAATTAAGTTTCAGATTCAAGGTCGTTTAATTGGAAACTGTACATCCTAATACCGAGTCTTGCAGTACTTTTAGTCATCATGATTTGTTGCTTGTGGAGGCATATTGATGCTGTGAAGGAGGCCCTGAGGTGCAGATGCTGGCGCTGTTGTGGAGGGTACCAGGAGCAAGGCAAAGAGGTACATAGCAACGAATTTGGAGATACAGAGAAAACTTACCTTTTCAAAAACAAACCAAAAGATAGGGCCGTTGAACATGAAGACAAACTGACCAAGCCCCTTCAAGAGGAAGACATTGGAGAAAAGACTCAAACTGTTGGAAAAGATAACGTTTTATCACGAGTCTTGTAAAAACGTCAAATCAGGTGTTGGGTCGTCATCTTGATCTTGGTAATTCGCATATCAAAGTTCCTCCCTCAAAAGAACTTGCGCTCGGTATCATATTGAACAATTATTTCACGAGTGCGTGTTTGATATGAGATGATAGATATGCAACACGGACCGTAGGTGGGGCCCAGTTGGCTAAAATCATTTCATATCGAAAGGCGAGATTGGATTTATTTTAATATTAAACGCCCTAAAAGATATTATAGATAAATTTTACCGACTTTACCAATTTTTAGCTTCGTTTTAATTAAAATTTTGCGCTGATGCTTACAGTTACTATATTTGTAGAGCATGGTATAATTAAGAATTGTTTCACGCTTAGCATGCGTATGTAGAGTTATAGATGCACGCGGGGAGTTTGGAGAACACGAGAGAAACGTAAGCGTTGCTCGAGGCGGAGCCTCGAGCAACTCTAGCTTCTTGAGTGCTCTCCAAACTTCCCAAGTGCATCCATAACTCGATATACGCATAGCTAAAAGCATGAAACGATTCTTTTATAACATACGACAACAATTTGGGCCCTGAAAGACGTTTTATTTTTTTACTATTACAAAGTTCTCACAATGCAGTACAAAGGCGCTCATTGGCTGGCTATAAACACGCCACAATCACTTCAGCGACAGTTGAACGGAACGCTTCATCTAATTTCTAAAATTGTAAATGCAAAAGTCGTTTCTTCGAAAGTGAGTGAATTTTTTTAAACAAAGTCAAACTCCTCGATGAAAGTGTAACCAAACAAAGTCAAAGTATACAAGTTAAACAAGTTACACAAGTTACACAAGTTAAACAAGCTTGGTTAGTAAAAGTCAAAGACCAGAAGTAGCGGGATTTGCATTTTTGAAAACGATGTTCACATTGCGGTGTACAGAGCAGTTATTGCCGAAAGCCAAAGAAAAGTTTGGTTGGTCTTCCATTTACTGATATCGCTTTCCGAAACTTTGACCTAGGGAACTTACACGACGGAAATTTTGCAGTTAATTTGAAACTGCACACGTCATTTTATTGAGCACGGCCGTGCGTACATGAAGATTTTGTTCATGGTGACGCAATAGGAATTAGATAGGACTAGCGCGCGCGCTAACAA